ATCCTCCCCTCAATCTCCTCTACATCTTCATACGGTAATACCCATCAATCCTACCCTCTCTCCATATTTTTGAAATCCAAAAACCCTACCCCATAACCCAAAGTTCGAATTTTCAAGCTCAACAACGCATTCCATGGCTCCAAAAAGGGATAGGGGTGAATCCTCATCAGCAAGGGAACCTGTTCCAGGCTACGAGAGAGTCAAATTCGCCAACGGGGCACACCGAGCGAAATTCGTTAAACAAATTGAACGAGAGGTACACCATTCCCGTTTCTTGTAACATGCTACTCTTGATGTCCTAAATATCTTTGTGACAATGTATGCTTTATTTGAGAAATTGAGTTTGAAATTGATATTTGGCATGAAGCACAATTACAATGAATAAATTATTTATGAATTTTTGAGCTCGGTCATGTTTGAAGTGGATGAAAATGATGTTCTTGAGGACAAACTCACGTTTAGGTTGTTCAACAATGCATGTTCAATTACTAAACGTGAGTTTGCAAACCATTTTGGCATCCCCTCTCTATTGAGAAGAAAATTTCGGATGACACGAGTTATGGGCATAATATGTGGAAAAAAATGACCGGAGAACGGAATGTAAGTGCATCGAAGCTTAGAATAACTCATGTCCATCGCCTATTCTTGAAATTTTTGGCTAATAGCATTCTTGGACGCCGAAACAACCATCACACGAGGATGGGTGATGTATGTTTTTGACCATGACTCAATATGCATCTGCAACGCCCTTTAACTTGTGCATATTGATATGGGCACATCTAAAAAAGGAATGCAAGGCAAAAGGAAATATTTGGGTGGGAGGAGTCATTATGCATTTGGCCACAAAATTCAGCTATACGAATCCAAGGCCTATAGCCGATTATTGTTTGATGGACTTCGATTACCTTAGCAATGCCTTATGCACTTCTCATTCCCATTATCATCACAATAGTAAGGACTAATATAAATGGACCATTCATCCTAGGCCTTTCCGATATTTCACCTTGCCCTTTGATAGCCTACCTCCAATTATTTTCACCGAGGACATGAGCCATTTAAGCCATTACTTACTACCTAATGACATCCCTCCACACCTCCAAGATGATGTCCAAGGCGACCAAACGGAAGAAAACCAAGAGGCCATGCATGAAAACATCCCCGAGCCACCTCAAAACCCTCCACCACCCGACTACTTCCAACAAATTTTGGCGGATCAACAATCCTTGCTCACTTGCTTGATGGATTCCAAAATATGAACCTAGAATATAAGGCCATGGGTAGTCAATTCACCCAACTTCGGGAAGAAATTGTCCATTATCGGGGGAGCAACGGGCATGATTTCAAAGGATGGAGGAACTACGCCAAGCGAACATCCGCCAGTACGAAGACGACTATCATAGGACCATAGGTCCTATGTACTCATACATGGCCCATCAAGGGGGTTTCCCTTCTATGGTCGCTCCTCCTCCAACACCCTCTTGGTATGACCTCACTCAATGGGGTAACTTTGGTGGCTCGAGCTCCGATGGTGGGGGCTATGATGGCGGAGGTGAAGGCGATGCTTACATGGGCGGCAAACGAGGCGGTGAAGGCATCTTTACGGGCATGGCAGGCATTAGGGGCAGTGCCTTGGAATAAGAAGGGGGAGACTCCTCATAGGTATGTACAATTCTCTTTTATACCTTGTACTAGGCATGATTTTCTTTACTCGTGGTAAACAAAAAAAACAAAAAATAATAATAATAAAAGAAAAAAGAAATGTTAGTTTGGTTGAAAACCAAAAAACGGGCAATCTAAGCAAAAAGGGCTTATAAATAAACATGAGTGAGTTGGAAAGGATGAAAAAAGAAAAAAAAACTAAAAGAAATGTTAGGATGAAAACCTGAAAAAGCTCCAAGGCAAAATGAGAGATGATATCAAGGAGAAGAAAATAAGAGATGAGCACGGAAGGCCATAAAACCCAAGAAGATGTCATTCTTTGAGCTAAAAACTAAATGTAAAACTCATATGTTACCCTTGGTGGTCTTTTGCTCCTTGTTAATTTTTGAACTATTTGAGGACTTGGAACTAGTGAACATTTGGCTTTAATCGAGGACGAGTAAAGAAACTAAGTTTGGGGGAGTTGATACTCTTGTAATTTTTTCCATTTGTATGTTTGCATTTTTAATTAATTTTGTTGTTTGTTATTAAGGAAATTACACATTTTTGGTGTAATACTTTAGTTTGTCAAATCACTTGAAATTTATTTAGATTAGGATCATTCTGAGCCTAGGACAGGTCAAAATCATCCCAAGAATCAAAGAATGGATCCTAAAGACCAAAGAATGTGCAAAAGGGAGAAGATCAAATCGGGATTTTGAAATTCGTTCATGTACCCGGTCAAATATTGATCGGATACACTAGTCAAAATCAAATCTGGGAGCAAATGAACGTGGCAGAAATTTGATTGAAGATCCGGTCTCATACCCGATCGGGTAGATCGATATACCCGATCGTGTATGCCTACATTTTACAGCTTCCGAGAAGCTACCTTTGCTACCCGATCGGGTACCCTATATACCCGGTCAGGTACAGGACCCTGCCACTTCCATTTTCCTATAAATACACTCATTTTCCTTCACATTAAATTCACTCAATTCCTATATACTTCTAAGTTCAGTTTAGTCAAGTACTTTCTTTATAGTTTTAACATGTTTAGTCTCCAAATGAGGAGCTAAACTCTTCCATCTTGGTTTTGTTTCGTTGAAGCTTATGATTTGTAAGCTGTAAGTAATTTTCTTTAATTATCTTCCCTGAATATTAATTACATTCTTATTCACATTTCATATTAATATTTTTAGCATTACTTAAAGGATCAATTAGTTTTGTTTCATATATTAATTATTATTAGAATCGATAAACGAATACGCTTGGTAATCGCTCGGGGTCCTTTCACGGTAGTAAACTTGGATTATTAATGCATGTGTGTCATGGTTAATAATCTAAGGGGAATTAATTATATTGATTAAACCAACAAACCACTTGTGTTGAGGTTATCAATCCCAATCATTTTCATCTTAAGTTTTATTGCTACTATCGGGTCAATATACGGCACATGTTCTATATTGACTTGATAGTAAGTTTTATTAATGAACGCGTCTCGTTATTAATAACTACCCTCGATGAATTAGAGATACTCCTCGATTGAGTATTCGAGAGGAAGATAGTTAAAGATATAACAAAGATCGACGAACATTTCACTAAGTGAATATAAGCAAAACCAATTCCTCATCTCTAATTAATTAAACCAGGTAAGTCATTAATCTTAGTGTTTAAATATTCTTAAAGTTCAAAGAACAATCTAAACCCCCTCCCTTTGGTACTAGTTACATAAAAGAGAAGTATTTCCTTCGTTGTGGATATGAACCTTACTTCATTATACTACGTATAATTGTTGTATTGATTATCATTTTGAGGCACACTACGACAAAGTGCTCATCAGTTATGTAGGAAGATGTTCTAGCTACACTAAGGAATTGTGAGTTTTGAAGTTTATGAATGGTAAAGGATGTTAGAGCTGTTGAATAAGTGCCACATTATTTTAAAAAGACCTAATTGACTGGTATCCGTTAAAAATATTTTGTGTTCATAATTGCGCTCTTTTGTTTCTGGATTTTGCAAGTCAGATTCTGGTTTTATCCCTATATTTGTTTATGCCATTTTTGGGTCATCTCGCCAACTTGCTATCGGTCCAGCTGCATTGACACCCCTGATGATCTTTACCTCTGGATTGAATCCCCTTATCCGCTGTTTGAGAGAGAACTGCTTAGCATTGAGAAAACTCTTAATAGTGGCCCCATATAGATCCGAAAGATGGTTCGTGGACTCCGCATGTCTACAATAAGGACATCTGGATGTTAGTACTTAGTAGTACCATTACCTCAAAATAAAGCATGAGATTTTAGGTCAAAGCCCCCAATTGAACCGATGCAGCTTTATAACATCAAATAACCTACCCCACATCTCTAACCAACTTTGTGCAGGAAGATATTTGGAAATCCCCACATTTTTTTCTCAGAAGCCACATTAGCAATTTAGCATGAGCGTCAATCAGAAAATCAGCAAGGAATCCATTGACCAGCCCCTTGTTTCACTCAAACTACTCTTCTCATCAGCATGGCTCAAGCCGAAAAGATATCCCCACATGCGCATGATTCAAGCATTGGTAAATTACATAAACTCCTTCCAGTCTTCCATATAATATTTTTTCTCCAAACAGTACAATCAGAAGTTCTAACTCTTACCACAGAGGAGTGTTGACCCTTTACAATATTTCTGCTCAAGTGCTTTGCTCCAAAGAGAGCGCTTCGGTTACCAAAACACGATCAGAAGAGTATCCCTCAAAAAGATATCATTAATGTTCTTAAGTGTCAATGTAGATAATTTTAGGACATTTAGAACATTTAAGATCTCAAAACATTGTTGAAACACTAAGTAAGAGTTAGCAAGTGATTCAACCATACTAGATGAACAGTTTGCCTAATTGAGAAATGCCTCATTTAAAAACTGGGAGAATGAAAGTAGATCAACTTTTTAGGCTACAGATCCAAGGCCAAGACTGGGAGAAGGGAAAAGAGATGGAGCCTGTGTAGAGGGAAAATTTCAGACCCAGTCGATGCCGACCTAGTAAAACACACACGAATTAATCCCCAAAAGTATTCTATTAAATTAAACTGAAGACCCTTGTATAGTTATTACTAGAGTTCTAAACATAAGAGCAAACATGATCTAATTAAATAAACTCTAACTGCAACTGAAAATAGAAAGGAGTGGGATAATAGAATCAAGACTCCCTTGCTTGGCCCGCAAGTCAGTGTTGGCAGTTTGAACGACTCAATCAGCCAATTTCAATGCTTCCAAGCCCGTGTTTGGTAAAAGACGCCGGTGATAAGAACGGTCCAAAGAAAGTACTCAAATCAAGTCAGAAATTACTCAAATGAGTTTGTCCTCATTCCTCATACCCAAAGTCTAGAAATGCCTCACCAAACGCCTCGAACTGAATCCAGGAAGCTTCTTCAGGGAGCTAGCCAACCCTTTGTACTCAGAGCTCATGGACCCCCCTCCACCAATTCAGCCAGCCACACACGATTGTTGCGGGTTGGAGGTGAATGGGCTGAGCCCAAGGTCAGGCAGGTTCCCTTTCATAGCAGTTCTTCCCTGGAATAATTGGGGACAGGAATTATTTCTCTATACGAAGTACCCCGTAAGGGATCAAGGACAGTAAGGACCTCCCAAACTTGTGGTTGGTTGTTTAGTTCTTGGGAGATATAGGGTACCTTTATCTTCTATACCATAGATTTGTTGCATGAACATTTGTCAGATTTGATGGCCGGCATTGCTTGCAATCTCTTGTTTTGGATTCCCGATAAGATTTGAGGTGCCCAATAGACATTCATGCACGTACACACCATTCCCTTGTTGCCATGGTGATGTTCCCCTCCCTTCACTCCTAGCATTAGGTTGCTAAATAGACCTGAGCTAACCCCTGCACACCCTTTTTCACTTTTACTCCCTTCATCTCAAAAAGAACTTGATGTTTCGGTTATGATCCTTGACATACGACAAAGTTAATGTCTCCATGACCATAGTTAAATTAGTATTTACATATTTAGAAATTATGCAAATAACTACGATTGGTGTTGCAGTGCTTTTGAAGTTTTGATAGTCATATATCAAATCCAGTATTCCAAGCTAATAATTCTATCAAACCGCAAAAACTGAACTTGAATATGAAAAAAGATCAATATAAAATCATATACTAGAAGAAAGTTCAGTTGACTGAATTAAAAGGTAATGTAAAGATGACTTCACATAGTACCATTTATCCATTATTTCTTTTGTATTGTTTTACTTATAATCTTAATCGACAATCGAATTTGTAAGCTAGTTCTAGCCTTTTAGCTAACTCCTAGTTATGTTGTTTGCTTACTTCCAACTGTCATCGCGAAGGACAACATTAGTGTTCGTTATCTTTCGATGCATCTTTATTATGGATCACACACACACGGATAGAGGAGTTTCAGATTCTTGTATCATGCCTCCAATCACCTAAACATAAAAGGGTAAACCCCATATCGAAAAACTAGATGAGGAGACCATTTTCTTTCCAAAAGTTCTGCTTGGCTCGGGAAGTGGGGGCTGATTATGGTATATATTGGTAGACCCAGGCACCCAGCAGTGACCGGTGCAGGGCTACGAATGATCCACCTTCTCGGAACTACTTTACTTGTCCAACAATCTCGGACGATTTCCTGATTTTCTTAAAACATGAACTTCTTTGTGAGCTTGTATTAGATTAGGGCACTATCATATAGACTTATAGTTGATTATGAATATTTCTTCCTGGCCCTATTGAGACTTGAGAGACGCACTCACCCAATCACTCATACAGTCGTACTCAAGCAAGAACATTATAAGTTATGTACTGTTCGTGTGTTTTGCCCATGGCCATTAGCACTATACTGTATTGATTATCGCCAAATAAAAGCTAATAAAAGCTGCCATACAACATTTCTGGAGCAGAAAACAGTCTTTGGAAGTAGAAATTAGAAAAATGGAAAAAAGCAGTGACAAATGAGGTAGAAAAAAAGATGGTACTCTCATTTGCAACAGCAAAACTGCAAAAGAAAAGGAGGGAAAACACCACGATTGTAGTCTGAAACCAAGGAGTTACAAACCAAAGCAACACTCAAGAAATAACATTTAAGCTTAAATATTGTTATAGTAAAAGAAAAACTGTTATAACAGCAAAGGTATTTTTTACCTATGAAAAAGGTAGGGTACAATAATTCTAGCTCAATGTTACCTGTGTTTCAGATGGAAATAGGGAACTTTAGAAAAACTACCTGAGCTTATTGCCTTATTATATGTTTAATACTACGTATATCTCTCAAATTTATTTGGATTTCAATAAGCACAAAACTTGCTTCAAATTAGAAAGCCATGTACCTGACCTCACAGTGAACACACATCTCTAGCACTTTTGTGGACAAGCGGTCGTGCAAATCTCTTGAGATTTAGCATCTGTTTCAACAATTGCCAATAGCAATCCCTAAACAAAAGAGACAAAAAGTAAGCACAATGACAGCAGCTACTTAAATTATATGAAAATAGCAGAAAGTTTGTGAACTTCGTTATTGGGCACCCGTCCAGTCATCAACCTGCAGTAATCTGGTAATATACATGTTAAGCAGTCTTCCACAGTCCATTAATTACGGTTTACTGACCCTTCCCTATCAAGCAAAACCCTTTGCTACTTTTTGTATAGTGATACGACCACCACCACTCAGTAACAATCACAATACAGCTAAGAACAAGGTAAGAACACAAATTCTCATTCACAGAGGTAAGTCGTATACAGCCTTTCCCAAGAAGGAGATAAACTCCAACTCCCAGTTCCAGACAAAGTGTCTAAAAACAGCCTGCCTTCCTACAGCAGAATTATTCTATTTATATCCTTCTACAAACAGAAGGTAGTTATTAGTTACTTAACAGCTTTTAACTAATAACCGCTAGTCTATTTTAGGCCTTCTAGAATATACTCTCCCGAATCTTCTATTCTGATTGCTTAGACTAGCTGGATCTCTATCAATACCCCCTCCTTGTAGAACCAACTTGTCCTCAAGTTGAAAGTCAGGGAATTGATCTTTGATCATATGAATATCCTCCCATGAGTCTTCAAAATCAGGAAGGCCCTGCCAATGCACTAGGATCTCCTTCTTCCCTTCCTGATTCATCCTACTGTCTCTCACAGCTTCAGGTCTCACTTGCAACTCACAATCTTCTGTGAGGCAATCTGGGAGGCTTTGATAAGCTACAGTGGGTTTCAGCACCTTCTTCAACAAGGATATGTGGAATACAGGGTGTATTCTACTTCCTTCTGGCAACCTTAATCTGAAAGCAACCTTGTTTATTTTCTCTGAAATTTCATAAGGGCCATAAAATCTGGGACTCAGCTTTTGATTGATTCTCTTGGCCAAACTTCTCATTTTATAAGGTTGTATCTTTAAGAAGACTTGATCTCCCACTTCCAATTCCTCTTCCCTCATGTGTTTATCAGCTTGTTGCTTCATCAAATTTTGTGCCCTGGCCAAATTCTCCTTTAGTTCAGTCAACATCCCATTCCTCTCAGCAGTCATTTTAGTTACTTCATCTACTGAAGTTATACTGACATCACCTCTAATGATAGCAGGAGGTGATTGTCCAAATAAAGCCTGATATGGAGTGCTTTTCAAAGAGCTATGACAATTAGTGTTGAACCAATATTCTGCCCATGGAAGCCATTTAACCCATTGCCTAGGTTTCTTCCCACTTAAACACCTCAAATATGTCTCTAGGCAACGATTCACCACTTCAGTCTGCCCATCACTCTGTGGATGGTAGGCAGTACTATATTTTAGCTTTGTCCCAGCCAATCTGAACAACTCTGACCAGAAAAAACTCAAGAAAAGGATGTCTCTATCACTCACAATGGACTTTGGAAATCCATGTATTCTCACTACCTCCTGAATAAAGATTTCAGCCACTCCTTTGGCATTATAGGGATGTGCCAATGGTATGAAATGTGAAAACTTTGTCAATCTGTCAACCACCACCAAAATAGTGTTTTTTCCTTGTGATTTTGGTAGACCTCCAATAAAGTCCATGCTAATATCAGTCCACACTTGTTCAGGTATGGGTAGAGGTTGCAGCAATCCTGCAGGCTTTAAGACCTGATATTTATTCCTCTGACAAGTGTCACACCCTTGAATATAATCCTTGATGTCAGTTCTCATCCCCACCCAGAAGAATAAATTGGAAATCCTCTTCATAGTCCTGAAATACCCTGAATGACCCCCTATGGCTGAATCATGGTATTCTTTGAGAATGATCAAAATTCTATGGGATCCCTTTGGTAAAATCAACCTCCCTTTGTAATAGAGTAAACCTCCTTTCCTCTTATAATCTGGATATTTATCTGGTTGAATTAACATCTTCTGCATGGTCTCCCCCCATTTAGGGTCCTTTTCCAGTTCTTCTTCCAGACCCTCCCACTCCTGACAAGTTACAGTAGATATGGCTGCATATGTGTATTTTCTGGATAAGGCATCAGCTGCCTTATTCTCAATCCCTGGTTTGTATCTAATGGTGAAGTTGTAACCCATCAATTTGGCTATCCATTTTTGTTGATCTTCTCCCATAACCTTTTGCTCAGTCAAATATTTCAGACTCCTCTGATCTGTATGTACCTCAAAACTCCTTCCCAAAAGATAAGGCCTCCACTTTTGAATAGCAAAAACAATAGCCATTAATTCTTTTTCATACACAGATTTATTCAAGTATTTGGGAGATAACTGTTTGCTCATATAAGCTAGAGGTCCTCCTTCCTGCATCAATACAGCCCCTAATCCTTTTCCTGAAGCATCAGTTTCAATCACAAACATTTTATTAAAATCAGGTACTCTGAGCACTGGCAAAGAAATCATGGCCTCTTTCAGATTCTGGAAAGCCTCAGTAGCCATCTCATTCCATATAAAACCATCCTTCTTTAAAAGCACAGTAAGAGGAGCAGCAATCTTGCTATATCCCCTTACAAACCTTCTGTAATACCCAGTCAGACCTAAGAACCCTCTGAGTTCCTTCAAATCCTTAAGGATATTCCAATTCTTCATAGCTTCAATCTTTTCAGGATCAGCTGCCACACCATCTTCTGAAATAATATGTCCCAGATAATTCAGTTGTCTTTGGCCAAATGAGCACTTCTTTTGATTTGCTACTAAATGGTTCTTCTTCAAAGCTCCCAGAACCTTTCTTAGGTGTTCTTTATGTTCTTCCTTAGTTTTACTGTAGACTAAAATATCATCAAAGAACACCAAAGCAAATTTTCTCAGAAAAGGCCTTAGAACCTCATTCATTAGTGACTGAAAAGTGGATGGAGCATTAGTCAGCCCAAAGGGCATAACTAAATACTCATAATGGCCCTCATGGGTCCTGAAAGCTGTTTTATGTGTATCACAGTCTTTCATCCTGATCTGATGGTAACCTGCCTTGAGATCCAATTTTGAAAAAATTCTGGCACCACCTAACTCATCCAACAGCTCTTCAATTACTGGAATAGGAAACTTATCAGGAATAGTAACCTTATTCAAAGCCCTATAGTCTCCACAAAACCTCCAGCCCCCATCTTTCTTTCTAGCTAATAGAATGGGGCTACTATACGGGCTATTGCTGTGTTTAATAATTCCAGATTTCAACATTTTTGCAATAATCTTCTCAATTTCATTTTTCTGATCAAATGAATACCTGTATGGTCTGATATTAGGTATCTCTGCTCCTTCTTTAATATTTATGGCATGATCACAGTCCCTTGCAGGTGGAAATTGTAGTGTAGAACTAAATACTTCTGTGAATTCAGCTATTACTTCTTCCCACTCAGTTTCCCTGTCATCTATATCAGTCAGTTTCCCAGATTCTCCTTCACAGTACAACAAGAACCCATCACTTTCCTGATGTAATATGTGACCCATAGTCTTCAAAGTCACCTCCATCTGATTAGCATTTGGATTTCCCTTTATGATATATGTTTCCCTTTCCTGATTCCACTTTAGGATTTGATGCTTAAAGTTGACCTCCATGTCTCCCAAACCAGTCAGCCATTCCATTCCCAACACTATATCCACTCCTCCCAATTCCAAGATGTAATAATCTTGTTGAATCTGTACTCCCTGAATTTCCAATTCTGCCAATGAACATCTGCCCCAATTGGGTATACATTCACCATTCCCAATCTGGACCTTATAACCCTTAATTGGATTGTAAGGTATGTTTTTGCTCTCCACCAAATTTCTGGACAAGAAATTGTGTGTAGCACCACTGTCTATTAACACAGTGACCTCTATCACTCCACCCATCCATTTCATCTTCCCTTTCACCTTGAAAGTAATCATAGAAGATATGCCTTCCTTACTTAGGACTGAGAGTTGCATGTTCTTGTTATCCATTTGATTGGTAGTATTTATGAATTCTTCTACTGTTTCTTCTCCCTCAATCTCTGAATTTTCTTCCCCTTCAGAATCCTCTACCAACACCATCTTGTAGTTTTTCATCTTACAAGCATGACCTCTGCTCCAATTCTCACCACATTTAAAACACAACCCCTTCTTGCTTCTCTCCAACAACTCTTCTTGAGATAATCTGGTCCCCTGTCTTCTTTCAGAAACTTCTTTAACTTCTGGCTGCTTTCTGATTTCACTGGCCCCTTTGTTTACTGTACTGGAGTTTCTCATAGGTCCTGGATAGCTTCTCCATTTGTTATTTTCATTCCAACTCTGTCCTGGACCCTGAATGATAGTTCTGCCTTGTCCCTTCTTCTTGTTTTCCTCCTTATTCTTCATTAAAACTGCCTCCACATTCTTGTTTTCAATCAATGTTGCTTTATCCATCACTTCAGCCAGTGTCCTGGTCTTATAGAGCTTCAATTCTGCTCTAATATCTCTTTTCAGCCCTTTTAAGAACACACCTTTCAACACTTCTTCAGATAAATGTCCCTGGGATGCAATAGTTGTCTCAAATAGATCTCTATACTCGGATATGGATCCCTTCTGTTTCAGACTAAATAGAGGCCCCAAAGGATCCTGAACCAAGTTAGGTTGAAATCTCCTGGTCAACGCCCGTGTAAATGAGTCCCAATTCAGATGATGTGCCTGTCCCTCCCACCATTGGAACCAGCTGAGAGCTTGGTCTTCCAATGCGATGACCGCTACATCCAATTTATCTTCTTCTTCTGTCCGATTCAATCGGAAGTATCTGTTCATCCTTAACAACCAACCAGAAACATCCTTCCCGTTGAATAGGGGCAAGTCAATTTTTCTGGCGGTATGGTTCTGATTTCTATGATTCCGTCTAGGTTCGCAATTGTGTTGCGAGACGGAATTGTTAACTGCATCATCCGAACTATCTTCTTCTCGCGGATTCCTCTGATGAGCTGTTCGCAGTGAGTTGTTCGATCGTCGCGATTGACTCCGAGATCGATTGGTCATCTGAACGTGTAATTCAGCGATACTAGCTTGCATCGCAGTTTGCATCGCTGCAATATTCGCAGCTAGATTATCCATGCTCGTTTGTATCTCACGTTGACCTCGCTCAACGTCATTCATTCTCCCTTCCATTTTCTTCCTCGTGCCAACCATTCACCACGGCAACCAGGCTCTGATACCAATGATACGACTACCACCACTCAGTAACAATCACAATACAGCTAAGAACAAGGTAAGAACACAAATTCTCATTCACAGAGGTAAGTCGTATACAGCCTTTCCCAAGAAGGAGATAAACTCCAACTCCCAGTTCCAGACAATGTGTCTAAAAACAGTCTGCCTTCCTACAGCAGAATTATTCTATTTATATCCTTCTACAAACAGAAGGTAGTTATTAGTTACTTAACAGCTTTTAACTAATAACCGCTAGTCTATTTTAGGCCTTCTAGAATATACTCTCCCGAATCTTCTATTCTGATTGCTTAGACTAGCTGGATCTCTATCATATAGCATGCTTGATAATATGTCTTAGTAGAATCAATTGGAACATGCAAATGTAAATAGCAAAAGGACAGAAGAAAAAAAGAAACCTTACCATTTTCTAGGCCCTTTCATTTAGAATCTCTGAGTTATTTTCTGCGACAAAAATGTAAGAAAAGGGGCCTAGGTTTTTGTTAGATTCAACCCAGCTCTTTCCAGGAATCTTTTCCACCTTCTTCTGTCGCATCGCCCACCAAACCTTGAGAGCATCATCCCACCGTCCAATTGCTTTGTACACTTTACCCAAATACACATAACTCATATGATAATCGGGTTTCAATTCAATTGTTCTCTTTGATATACGCTCTGCAAGGGCTGGATCTGTAGTGCTGCTACAAGCTCCAAGCAAGCAAATCCAAAGAGAAGGATCACTTTTGAAGTCTGAACTGTTAATCAAACACTCTGATTCTTCGAGCTCCCCAGCCCGACATAGAAGATCAACCATGCAGCCATAATGCTCAAGCCCGGCTTTAATTCCGTAATCATGTGTCATGGAATTGAAATATTTACGTCCCATGTCTACAAAACCACTGTGACTACAAGCAGATAGAACGGAAACAAAGGTTATATAATCAGGCTTGAAACCTTCACCAATCATCTTGTCGAAAATTTTAATAGCTTCGCCTCCCCTGCCGTTCTGTGCAAACCCAGATATCATAGAATTCCAAGAAACCAGATTCCTGACATCCATTCTGGCAAATACACTATGGGCAGCATCAAAACATCCACATCTTGCATAAAGATCGACTAGTGCAGATTCAATTACTACGTCCCTGAATCCACCTTGCCTTAAAAACTGGCAATGAACTTCCTTCCCTGGTTTCAAAGCGGCCAATCCTGAACAGGCACGAATAACGGTTCCAAAACTGTAAAGTTCAACCCCATCCATCATCTTAAATAACTCGATAACTGTATCATAATCACCCGTATGGCAATAGCCGGTTAGCAAAGCACACCAAGAAACTGAATTTCTTTTACCCATACTGTCAAAAACCCGACGAGACTCGTTCATAAGCCCACATTTGGCATACATATCCACTAAAGAACTATCAACGAATATATCACCACGTATCCCATGAGAAACAACCTTTGCATGCACTTGTTTTCCTTCCTTCAACTTACCTAAATTCCCCACAGCTGTCAAAACACTTCCAAAAGTATGGGCACCTGGAACCAACTTGTGTTTCCTATGTTCTGAATGGAAGATTTCCAAAGCTTTCCTAAACAAATTGTTTTTAGTAAGAGCTGAAATTAAAGAGGTCCAACAAATATCATCAAGAGATGGCATTTCATCGAACAGCTTTAGTGCATCATCGGGTTTATAATTCTTCCCATACATATCGATCAATCCACTAACAATAACACCACTATCATCAAAACCACGGGTTATCACAACCCCATGGAAACACATACCAAGTCTCAACTCCCGAAGCTCAGAGCACGCCTTGATTGCAGTAGATACAGTAAATGCACTCTGCTCAACCTCATGACCTACCATTTTCTCATACAGCACAAGAGCAAGTTTGGGCTTACCCACGCGAATATAACCCGATATGATAGAGCACCAAGAAACAACATCTTTGTAGACTAACCCATCGAAGAGACGTCGGGTTTCAGAGAAATTTCTTCCAAGCTTGAAATAAAACGAAAGGAGATTGTTGCCAACAAACCGGTCAGTATCAAGGCCAGCCTTGGTCACATGGGCCTGCAACTGGAGACCGAGGTTGAAAGAATTGGTTTTCCTGCACCCCCGTACAAGTGTGGCGTATAGGGCTGGTTTCACAGTTATTAAGTCTTCCGACACAAGAGAATTAAGGAGCTTTACAGCTTTGGAGATATGGCCTAAATCGCAAAGCTGGGCGATTTCAGATTCTTTGGAGGATGGGGAGAGATAAGTGCTGTAAAGTCGCCTGTTTCTGCTTCCACACAAAAACTTCGGCAACATTGACATATACAGTTTCCCTGGAGAAAGCTATATATTGTGCACCAGAATTTCAAAAGCGCGGAGAGAAAAATTTGATCTTTTGTGGACTTCCGTTCAAAAGCAATAGGTAAGCCATATCTCTCAAGTGTTTATTTTTTAATTTTTTTTATTTATTTTAATTTAAGTAGCTAATAGCTATGTTGCAGGAAAACACGAAAATCATGAGTAAATGGAAAACATAAACATCAAGGGCATGTTTAACAGAGATAATTTCAAGTTTTCTATTTCTATTTTTTGTTTTCCAATTTTCTGTTTTCATTTTCAAGTTTTTCAATCTCCAATTTTCTGTTTTATTTTTTTAGTTTTCCATTTTCTAATCTGAAAAATGTTCATAAATAAATTTCATCTGGTTCGTGACCGACCAGAAGACCGTAAGTACGGTCTCATTCCGAAATCAAACCAGGTATAGGGGCCGCCGGATTGTGGACCAGACATGGGTCGTGAGGTAGTGGACCGGACTGGACGGGGGATCGTCGGGTCGTGGAACAGACAGGGACCATCGGGTCATCGACCGGACCGAACCGGGTTTGCTCAGCCGTCGTCCGAATTGGACAGGAACCGTCGAGTCCATGACCGGACCGGACCGGACTGTGGGGTCATCGATCGGACCAAACACGGACCGCCGGGTCCATGCCCGAACCGGACCGCCGGGTCGTAGACCGAACAAGATAAAGAACGTAGGGTCGTTGATCGGACTAGAAGTGACACCGGAGCGGGACCGGATCCACCACTAGGTGTAAATATGCAAATTCATTTTAGCAGTACTGCAGCATCCGCGTTTTCCAAATTTGGAAAACTAGTAAAAGTCACTTCTCCAATTCATGAAGAAAAAGAGAGACATATCTCATTTTTTTCGTTTTGGAAAACGATTTGGTAAACATGATTTTCTGTTTTCCTTTCTCCAGTTTTCCTGCAATCTTCTTTAGTAAACACGTTTTCTGTTTTTCTTTTTCCAGTTTTCCAGTTTTCTGAAAAACTGGAAAATATCTCTGTTAGTAAATAGGCCCTAAAAATTTTGTTAAAAAAAATGTTTTTATGTAACAGAAAAGTGAAGAGCAATTTAAATTCAAGCAATCATTTATCTACTTTCAGCTTTTAACTTATAAGTACTTAATTTATGCAAAAATTGTCACTTAAACGCATTCATTTCATCTCAAGGCAAAAGCTAAAAAGAAATTTTTTGAAAACACTCCCTTAGACATTTCAATAATTGTTTACTTCAACACATCATTGTGCATATACATCTATACTTAATTAAAAAAAATTATGTACTCTGTAATTGTAATTTGATGTGGTTTAGTTCTAAACACTCAACCTCGGGAAGAAGAACAACTTTAAGCAATAACTTTTAGTCCTTGGGTTTGGATCTTAACTAATATTATCTATGTTAATTGAGTATAGATATACATACAGAAATGATTTTTTGAAGTAAAGTTATGCATTATGACTATTATTGAGGTAAAAACAATTTGTTATAATAGTAAGTGATTAAATTAATAACTTCGTGTATAAAATATTATTATTAAAACATCCAAACACAATATAATTTTTTTTCAACTAAAAGGGTTTAATTTATTATAAAATCCATAATTCCGTGCTTTGGCGAGTTGCAACTAAAGTGAACATTGAATGGCTTTCCAAAAGCAATGAACACATTCAATCCATCAATAATAAGACTCAAACGATTAGGAAAAACTTCAAACACATGTTAACTCTTTAGCAAAAACTACAATTAGGAATTATTTATTAATGTAGTGATTAACATAATCTAAATAAATTTATAGTTAATATGAAAGTAGAAGAAACATCACTACAAAAAACCACGAGATTGACAAGGATTTTGTCAGGGATTTGGCAAGGGTTTTGTCAGGGAAATGCCAAATCCGTGCCAAAAACACTTTGGCACAAGCTATTTGGCACGAAAAATCGGTAAGTCCGTGCCAAATTTCGTGTCACTCCCGTAATTTTTTTATAGTGCATTACCCGTAAGCTTGCAATGCAATATAAGTAATTAAAAAAAATAGTGCAATATAATTCTCCAACTCTTGAAGTTATCCTTTTGATCTTCTTTTCAGTCCCATAGTTTTTTAGGACTCTATTACATTCTTAAAATCATAAAGTAAATTTCAATATATTTAGCGTCTTTAAAGGCTTTTTATTTAAAGGCTTTTAAAAACACTACTAATAAAAATCTAGGGACAAAATGTGACTATAAATTTCTATAGATAAGTTTTACTTTATAGCCACTATATATGATATGAATTTTGAATACAATTATAGTCATTGAAAGGAATTAATCGAAAAATAATATCGGTTTCTTGTGTGAACATGATCACATTAAGAGCTTTTTCGTTCCAATATAAAAGAGTAAATTGGAAAAGATCATACATAAATTAACATAAAATATAATACAAATTTCAATAAAAGTCCTTTTTAAATTTCAACAATAATAAACATGTTTTATCATAATTAATGAGACTTTAAATATGAAAAGGTATTGTAGTGACATGTGACCAATTCCCCAAAAGTGAATAATAGAGTGACACGTGCAAATTTCATTCCTCCCATGTGACTCCCAATTGCATAATATATATAATATAGAATATAGATATCGATATAGATATACATTGTTGTAATTGTTATACTCAATTTAAATTTATTATAAGAGTAAATGACAATATACCTATTATAATAGTAATGGCATGGCAATCATATTCCCGTAACATAATTGGTTGTATTGTAAAGAGATGAATGGAAAGCAGCTAAAAAAGAGAAACTGTGAATATGGTGTAAATGGCAATCGTATTCATGTAACCTATACTTATATAAACGGAAATATAGTTACTGATTAGACTTTAAATATGAATAAATATTATAGTAAAAATTGTAGTGACGTGTGGTTATGAGTTAGTAATAGAGTGACACATTGCCATGAGTGAGTAATAGAGAATGACGCGTTGCAATATCATTTTTTCAATGTGACTCCAATTGTAATATATAAATATATATATATATATATATATATATATATATATATATATATATATATATATATATATATATATATATATATATATATATATATATATATATATATATATATATATATATATATATATGAAAGATCATGTGAGAAGTGTCCCTTAAAATGAGAAGTGAGAACTGATCTTAGCCCTTGGATTTACATCTAATCTTACAACGCATTAAACTTATAAACTAAATATAGGAACTTATAATCAATAAATCATACTATGAATATGGTGTATATGTCAATCATATTCATATAACCTATACTTATATTGTAAATGGAAACAAAGTTATAAATGGAATAGAGTTATGTTGTGATCAAGGCAGGTTACTTATTAGACTTTAAATATGAATAAATATTATAGTAAAAATTGTAATGGCATGTTGTCATGGATTAGTAATAGAATGACACATGGTCATGACTGTAATAGAATGACACATGGTCACGACTGTAATAGAATGACACGTGACAATATCATTCCTCCAATGCGACTCTCAAGTGTATAATATATAGATATAGATATAGATATAGATATAGATTCTCTGATCAGTTGCTATTTTTATAATTTTGTTTCTATTTTTCAATTTTCTAACCTATTGTAATATATGTTTTATGTTAAGACCAATATCATTGAAGTGGGATGAATTTCAAACTTGTGACCTCCTCATTAGTAAACAACCTTGTTATTTTATCAATTTTAGATTGTTACCGTTTTCCTCCATACGAGTTGTTATTTTTTCATCATCCTTGTAATACATGGGTCCTCCTATTTTTTAAACATTAAAAAGTATCGCAAGTATGACTATATTAATCATTATTTCATCAATATATTACTAAAAAGCTCATATGCTAAAATACAACTACTTATTTATAATTGTAGTGTAACAGTGCTATTGACAAGTTACCATATCAAAGCCACGCAAAATTTTGTTTGGTCGCCGCAAAATTTTGACAAGTGTACATGTAGAGAAATTTTTTCTATCAGGACTAAAATTATTCTTGCCCATCATTTGCAATGGAGTCAAAGATTTGTTACTTTTTGACTTGAGAATATGATGGAATAAAGCAAAATGGCTCACTTAACTGCTTGCACTTCTTTGTTATGAAGTAGCAGTCAGTCCATTCAATTTTGGACGCGATTTTCACTTGTCATCCGAAAACAATCTCTCTGTGCTTTAGTACAGGGGTAAGATAAGACTGCGTACATTCGACCCCCTTACTCCACCGTAGGTGGAGCCTTTGCGGCACTGGGGTATGATAATGATGATGAGGAGGACTAAAATTGTCATCTCTCCTTAAATAACCTACAACTAAGAATATATGAATAAACAACAAGTAATTTCCCAAAAATCTACCGCCAGAAAGAAACCATCACCGAAATTCACCGTCGGACCCTCCTAGGCTCCAACTACCACTGGAAAGTTGCCAAAACTCTGGATTGGTAAACTCCAGAAAGATTAACCCTAAACCCTAAAAAGTATAGTTAAACCCTGAATCTCAAACCATAATACTAAGCTCTACGAGTAGCTTAGAGGAATATAATTACTCTTTTCAAACATATGAACATAAAAGTTATGTTCAAGGAATAAAAACTAGGAAGAGCTTAATTTTTGTCACATAAGGAGCAACTTACATATAAGTGATATAACTATACAAGTATAGCTACTTGTATAGACTCATACAACATGAACAATAATAAAAGGTTTACCATTCACATGGTATCAGAACATCATACAGGAAACAAGTAAAAGTACCATTATCCTACTATTTCTAAGGAGAAATTCCTACATGAACAATAACTATGATTGGTGTTGCAGTGCTTTCGAAGTTTTCATTTATCATATATCAAATCTAAACCCCACCATGCAACCTACCATTGTGAATATGACTCACTCTGGAATTTAAAAGAACAATCATACTTTTCAAATCACCAATAGTCATATTTTTGTTGATTAACTTTATTTCAATCCTACTTTTTGTCAACAGTTCAAATTTTAGTATTTGGATTCATTTCACACAACCAATTTTCATTCTCTATAATATTCAATGGAACATAGAACTGTGTGAAGAGTGGTATACATAATACACTCGGACAAGAAGTATGAATACATATCGTTGGGAGCCAAAGCTGCAACATCTCGCACAGACGTGTGCTCTTACTCACTAAATTGCGTGACATAGGTATTCGTTGGAGGTCACAAAATGTACAACTCCCTCCATCCCCTAATTACTAGGACGGAAGGAAGTGACACGCCAACCAAGACACAAACAACTTTTTGATAAAATAACCAATCGAAAAGCAAAAATCCATCTAGCACATCCCTATTTATCCCTCATTAAATTTACTTTTTACTTTCCAAATAAGGTATGACACAATAATTGTGAGACATCCAAAAATGAAAAAATGGGACAACTATAGGGGAACCGGGGAGTATATAATTTCATGGGAAAAGGGTCAAACAGACCCTTCAACTTTCATCAAACCATCACATAGGCCCATCTACTTATAAAAATATCACTTAAACCCATTAACTTAATAAAAACAATCAATTTAGCCTTATTTACCGGGAAGTAGGGCTGCACAAGAATAACCCAAACCCGCATAACCCGCCCAACCCAACCCTACCTGACTCTATTTAATTGAGTATTTGATTTTAAAAAATATTCATGAGTTAAATATGTTTGAACCCGCACCTAATGGGTAGGGTTGCGGATTTAAAATTTCAAACCCGATAGTTGCCGACCCGGCCGAAAGTTCATTTTACAATGTTTTCTTGGATAATCTCAATTTAAGACCAATGTGCTCTATCTAAGACTTTATGATATTAGAATTACAATTAAACATTTACCATTTTGACTAGGTGATTATTATATATTTACGTTTCGTTCTAAATGAACTTCCTTTACGGAAGGATTTTTAATACTATTACCTAATGTTTTTGCTTATAAAAGATACGAGTATTTGTATTTGTTCGTGTGTTTTGGAAACAAGTTAATCGAATTTCAAATTGGTTACATTGATTTCCCACATGAAAGATGCAACCCGAATTGATTTTTTTGCACAACACGACCCTACCCGAACCATTCATGTATGCTTTAATTTACCAACTTATTTTGCGTACCACGGGTTGGTTAATAGTCAACCCGAACAAATTGGGTAGGCCCAAAAAATATAGCAAACCCGACCCAACCCGACCGATGTGCACCCCTACCGAAAGCAACCTTCTCAATCGGTTAAAGTTAGATTTAACCTTTTTTTCCTTTTTCCTTTTCATTTCTTCCTTCTTTCTACTCGTCATCTTGTCCCATCGTCCTCGTAGCATCAACTGCAATTTTATCCCAACCTATCCTAATATATACTTCATCAGTTCCCTTTTAATTGCAATTGTCAACATTTCACGTTTGCCAATGCACAAGTTTGACTATTAATATCTTTCATTCTTTATTAGTAAAAAATTTTAAAAAAAAATCATATTTTGAAAATTTAGAATGGGAAGAATTTAACAATATTTTTAAAAAATTAATTTATAATACATTAATTAATAAAATATAGTCAAAGTGGAATATGTGAATAATGCAAAAAGTCCAATGTTGCAATTAAAAGAGAACGGAGGCAGTATATATATATATATATATATATATATATATATATATATATATATAGAGAGAGAGAGAGAGAGAGAGAGAGTGCCGTCCGGACGGTGGCATTTGGGGCCCTTCTCGGTGGAATTTTTTGATTAAATTTTTATGGCATGTTCTTCATCAAGTCTACTTTATCCAAAAAAATCCAGCTAAAAATTCAATCAAGAAGGCTGTCGAATTATTTTTGGAAGATAACTGCGCCCAAAATATACATATAAAACGCAGTTAACTTCCAAAAATTATTTGTCTGCCTTCCCGATTGAATTTTTAGCTGAATATTTTTGTGGATAGACTAGACTTGATGAAGAACATGTCATAAAAATTTCATCAAAAAAGTCGACCGAGACGAGGTCGAAACGCCGCCGTCCGGACGACGGTTCCTGTCTGGAATTCCGGACAGGAATATTTCTCATACACACACACAGTGACACAGTGACACACACACTCCTAGCCAACCCTGCCAACCAACAGCTCTCCATTGTCAAGCCCTGCAGAACTGCCGCTTCCCCATTCTTTGTCCCGTCCATAGACCTCTCCAAACCGGCAGCCGCCAAACACCTTGTAAAAGCCTGCCAGGAGTTCGGATTCCTTAAGATGGTCAACCATGAAGTTCCCGCGGAATTCATAACCAGGCTTGAAGCAGAGTCAAGTTCTTCTTCTCCCCAGCTTCTCAGAAAGAAAAAGCAGGGCCGCCTGACCCTTCGGATATGGGAATAAGAAGATCGGAGGAAATGGTGATATTGGGTGCGCAGAATAATATACGGAGTACTACGTGTGTGTGTGTGACTGTGTGTGTATATATATATATTACTACATAAGTACATATATATGTATACTCTATATATACCTAATATAGGTATTCCTATATAATCCGGTGACATGGTATGTTTCCTATGTAGTATGTACTTTGTCTCATTGTCTGACCATGATAGCCTTTGTGGATAATCCCGTGAAGGAGCGGACGTGGAATGGTATTCCGGTGATGCACGGCCATGGAGGGCTGCCGAGGAAGAGGAATCTATAAATGCTTCTTTGTCTAGGTTGCTGTGAGTTGAAATCTGTTGAATGCAGGAGGCCTAGGACACGTTTGTTGCGAACGATGGGAAAATACGGATTAAACAAAAGGGATGGGAAATTTTAAAGAAGAAAAGAAAAACTAGCGGGCAAGTTGGGACGTTGGGTTGTGGAAACTGGGAAAGAGGGAGCGACGTAAGGAAAGCAAAAAAGAAAATGAAAAATGGATACGCGAGAGAAAAGTAAGAATTGACTTGCTAGGCTGCTATTAAAGGTTAGTTTTAGGTAACACGACTCACTTGATTGTTTTTTAAGAGTAAATGGGTTTATATGATGGTTTTTATAGTATATGGACTTAAGTGATCAATTTGCAATTGTAGAAGGGTCTATTTGACCCTTTTTCCTATTTTCATATATTTCATAACTGTCTGCGATTCTTTGTTATGGAGCAACAGTCGATCCATGCAATTTTGGACGCGATCTTCACTATGGGTCATCCGGAAACAGTCTCTATATGCTTTAGTACAGGGGTAAGACTGCGTACATCCCCAGAAACAATCTCTATGTGCTTTAGTACAGGGGTAAGACTGCGTACATCCGACCCCCTTACCTCACCGTAGGTGGGAGCCTTTGCGGCACTGGGGTCGATGAAAATGATGAAAATGATGATTTGGTTAGTTTATAAAAAATTATGTGCTTCACTAAAAGAAAGGGTAAACCAGTGACATACAACCAAACCAGTTCAATAACAACAGTATGACAACACCAAGCAGCAAGACAACTTAAGATCGTTCCGAGTTTTTCACGAAGTAAAGACAATGAAGTTCAAATGTATAAGAAGAAATACAGGGTACTACTACTCCTACTCACACAGTGCTTTACTCCTTTTAGCTGGTGGTCTCCACAGGGCTTGCATTAGTCAGCAGTCTAGCAATCTTGGCAGTGGGCATCAAGGGAAGATACGTTGCAACTCTGTACCCCTTCTCAGCACCAACTTGGACAGTCTGGTTGTACCTCTCAGACAAGTAAGAAGCCGTTGGAGCAACAGCTTGAGCCACCTTGGGAACAAGAGGAAGATGATTGATAGACTGCCACGCTGACAAAGCATACTGTTCGGCTAGTGGTTCGCACTTGGTGTATATCCCTTTGGCAGCAGGCTCACACTGTGTGTACACGGTTTTTGCCAATATACATGCAGTTTCCACCACACCAGTACTTTTCACTTCGGCAACAACAGCACGGACAACCGATGGAGCCATCTGCGCAGTTAGTAAAGCCTGTGCTGATACTTGTTTCACAGATGGTGGAACACGATCCTCGATCATGTGAACCGACTCATCAACCTACACCAATAGAGCAGAGAGCTTGAAGCATCAATTTACAGGATGAGAAAGTGGCATAGCATTAAAAAAGAAATAGCCCATCTGAGAGAGGAGAACTAACACAAACCATTAATGTTCAGAACTTCAGATAATATCATTGGTCCTCTTCAGTGGCGGAGATAGGGGAGGGTGGAACCCATTTTTTCTGTTGCGTGTGTATATAAGTGTGTAACTCTTTAAAATCTATATGTTGAAGTATAAAGGTCTGTCCCCCTAGAATAAAATTTTGAAAATCTGACACCCTAATGCAACACTTCTGGCTCCACCATGGTCCTCTTTAAATAGGACCTTGGTCTTTGACATGATGAAATGTAGTTAAGAAACTACATTGCATCATGATGTTACTATCCCATGTGATTTAAAGACCTTGGTCTTTAAATCACTTTCTGCATATTTATTTTCCATCCTTAACGATACAGTTCAAATGGAATGTCTGCCCATTTCAATCCCTTTTGGTGTCCCTAAAATAGGTCTGAATGCAGTGTGGTCGAAATTCTAGGGAGTTGAAAGATGAATGGCCAGGAGGGCAAAACAACTTTCATGGGATAGTAACATCATGATGCACCAACTTCACAAAAATCACAAGAAAAAAATACTCTTTCTATGTTCATTTTAAATTACCTGAAAGGGTAAAAAATACTAACAATAACCCTTAGTGCGTTGTTTAGGGAATCAAAAGTGATTTATTTTGTTAGGAAGTGAAGTAAATGCATTAACATATGTAAAAGGTACAAATATGATTTTAACTTGACGATTTCTACTTTTGGCTTCTTGCCAAAAGAAAAACCCATATTCACAGTTTCATTGCCAAAACTGCGCAGGGTCATTATACCTAAAACTAAAGTAGCGAACTTTCACAAATGCCTCATAGATCAACATAGTTCTAATAAGAGCATTAAACAAGATGAAATAATCGATGTAAGTGTAGAGGTGTATCACAACATAAAGAATAAAGTTTGGTATAAGAATTACACCGAACTTGACACAGATATCAATCTACCTTCAATAATTGCAAGAGATTCATACCATCTGGTTTCTATCAATTTCAAGGACTACAACATGACGAGAAAACATAATGGTCTAGATATTACATCAAATCCAAAAGTCAGATGCCAAACTTCCTTAAATTACTGCATCTCGAGAAAACAAAATGGTCTAGATATTAACACCAAACCCAACAGTCAGATACCAATCTTCCTTTCATTAGTGCATCTCATTGCAGGGTAACTTAATTTTTTTGGTGTAGTTTTTTCATTTTTTTTATATCTAGCACACCCTGTATAACCACTCTTCAGCGGCATCCCAAACTCCTAGATCCACCCCTGTCTCATTGATTCAAACACATTTATTATTCAAGTTTCAGGGAGAGCATGAATGTTTTTCATGATAGCCCAAGATGAACTGACAATATACATCTTGAAGAGGGGCGTGGGCATCAATATTCAAAGATTAGAAACCTCGGGCTTTCAAAAAGGAACTTGACTAAGCCAGAAAATAAAGAAATGAACGACCGAACTGCCCAACATAACGAAGAGGATCAAATAAATGACATTGACAACATATGTGATGGCGGAACTCCAAAAAACAGACCTAAAGCGATTTAGTATACCTTGCGATCTACGAACTTGAGGACTTCAGACGGAACATATTGAATCTTCTCGTAAACTGGACCTACGACGGTCTTAACCGTACCCTCCACGGTCTGAACGCCAGGCTTGAGAGGGCCCAAATTCTCCTTAGCGTAACTGTAGAGCTTCGCAGCGCATAAGACGGCGTGGAGCGCAGCGACTTGCACAAACTCCAAATACTTCAACCTCTGCTCCTCGATCTGAATTTCAACCTTGGATCAACCAATCGATCAAAACCCCCAGATTCAGTAAAATCAGTTGCAAATCAATGAAAACGCACATGTATCTAACATAAAAGAAAGTGAGAACAACTCGAGAAGTATAAATTTCGGAATCTGAAATGAATTTACCTCCTCCGGCTGCTGTTGATTGTTAGGGCTCGTTTCATTGGCCATGGTCGCAGAAAGATTTCGAAGTGTAACGGTGATAATAAAAATCCTGTTGCCTGGCCGCGGATTTATATGGAGACAAATGAATAGACGGCAGCGTGGACGGACAATTTTTCCTATTTATAAATACATAAACGCGCAATGGGTATGGAAGAATCTGCTATGCCGAAATTGGGAATTCGATTTGACTATTCCTCGTTTCCTTACCCGCTAAACTATTGTTGTTGAGGTGGATAAGAAACTCTTTCTATAAGAAACGGCAAAAAACGTGGTATGTTATGGTACCATTTAAAAATTAGGTATCCTATCTACCTTAAATGTACCATAAAATCTATCTTTAGATTATGCTTCCATCTATTGTACACCATTATTTTGTGTGGCTGCTGGTGTGCGAGAGGGAGGGACGACACAGGAGACACCAGGTGAGCCGACAAAAGTGGGACCGGCAAACGATGATCCAGCTGAGAAGGGTGGCGGTTCCAGAGGTATGGGCTGCACAGGGACCGGAGCCGACCATGGAAACATCTGTGGAATATTCGGAAACAAAGAATATGGCAAAGAGGTCCGGCTTGGTGATGCATAATTGGAGGAGAATGTCACACCGGTAGAGAAGGAGGTAGGGGGAACACCGGTTGATGGCGGCATGGTGGCCACGACAGGAGAGAGATGCTGGGCCGAGGATGGACCGGTGCTATTTGCTGCAGAAGCTGCCGTCGACATCTGGAGTGCGGCGGCGCTAGGGTTTCGCGGCAGGGAGAGAGGCGGTGCTAGGGTTGCGCGGCATTGATGGTGCGGCGGCGCTAGGGTTTGCGCGGCGCTGATCGGGTAGAGAGAGAGAGAAAAAAAAAAAGAAAATTTAACTAGCTCTTGATACCATGTGAGAATAATGGGAAAGGTTACTCCCTGAGGAGCCCTGGCAGATATATTTATATTAGAGAGAGTTTAATGTAAAGTACAATACTAAGCCTCTAATAATTCTATTAATTTTGTACGTCGACCAGATTATTTACGCATAGATCAAAGAACTGTTACAACAAATGAGACTCGATGTGGTCATGATGGATCAATCATATCCTAGCCTTGCAGGAGATCTTAGGGACGAAAATTTCTAACAAAAAATCTATTTGTACACATTTTTGTACATCCCTCCTATTTTGCATGTGCACAGAAGCAGTTCGTTAAGAAAAAGGCAACATTTGTCTCCCAATTGTCTGTGTACACAGACAAATGTACAAAGTGTGTACAACAAGAAGGGTTGATTTTCTAATACCTTGGCATGGATAAGATCCAATTTGATTGTTCTTTTTATTAGTGTTATGTTTGAGTTGTCCTATTGTGACTCTTTTTCGAACATTGGTGCTTCGGTCTGTGATTGTCTCCCTCGACTCTTTACCGGTCATTATAAAATTTGTTGGGCCGCGAGAATGCGGACCAACAATCTTCTAGCATATCAGTGCAATCGAAATATCGTATTTAACTTCTATGCAAGTATTTAAAAAACTTTACCTTCACTATAAACTATAGCTTTTCATGAGTGGTAAGTGCTTGATACTGATAATCGGTATTAGAGCATGTCATGGATTCGACCCCAGACAATAGCACGTCGCGTAGTTGTAGACTAGCACGTGCTAGATGATTGTTGGGATGCGGAGATTCAGGGATGCGGGCCAACAATTGGCTAGTCTGTCGCTACCAGTGATAATGCACTCGATCCTGACAAAAATGATAGAATCTACTTCTCTTTAGGAGAAGAATTACTTGCTTCCTCTGTTTTGATTTTGCCAATTTTCCCTTTTATTTGTTTTAAAAAATTGCAACTTTTCCTTTAAAGAAACTAATTTATTGTTTTGCTTGTTTTTCCTTTTTTGTGTAAATCTCAATCACAAATTTTTTTACTTTTCTCATATCTCACTTTAAGTCTAACTTTACAATGTCTAATGAAATGGAGTTGGTATATTTTATCCCTATCTACGACTATATGTTAAAGCAATAATAGGTAAAGATGTAGTATATAATGTAGTATATAAGTGATTAGGCCTGAGATCGGTTCGGTTCTAGTTAAAATTTGATAGAACCATATTATAAAATGTAGGCGTTAAATTCGGTTCGATTTTAGTAAAAAACGTAGTTAAATTCAATTTGATTCTTACCTTTTTCGGTTCGTTATAAAAAATTATTATTCTCCTAAAATTAACACATTTTACATTTAATTATATAAAAATGTTCAAATTTCAAATCATGAAAATAATTATCAAAGTTACCATCATTACATTATACACACATGATATTCCAATGTTCAAATATCTCAATAATATTCAAGGCATCAATTGCCTAGCGAAAAAGTTTAACAGTTCCAAGGTACACATTCGGTAGCAGGTAGTTCAACTCAAATTTAATGTTCTTATATTAGTATTGCACCATAAGTAAAAAGTACATACTAATAAACTGGCCGCTGATAGTAGTAATTTACTATAAGCAGATAACAACACAATCAACAACAACATTAGTTCATTTTTGAGGTGGACTCAAATAACAAATACAATTACAAACAAATACTACTTCTGTCCCGCTATGATTGTCCCATTTTACCGTATCCGTCCGTCCCACTAAGATTGTCACATATCAAATTTGGTAAAGTTTGTGTGGTTCTAAATCATTCTTACTTTATCTTTACTTTATCAATTCAATATCAAGCACATAAATCACTTTTTATTAATTTGTGTGTCACTCCCTCTTGTCCCATTGTTAGCGGGACGAAGGGAGTAATAAGTACAAAAATGGACTAAAGTAGTAAAATAACAAATATTGGGATTGACCTAGTCCACAATATATAAGGTATATTATGCAAGACAAATATTTCTGTCAAAAATTTCCTAACCGGAACGCCGTCTGGCCACCTTCATTTGAGGTGCTTCTGAGTAGATTTTTTTGATGATATTTCGTGAGCATGTTCTACATGAAGTGTAGATTATATCCATCAAATTTCAACTTAAAATTCAGTCCGGAAGTGAGTTAAAGAAATTATTGAAAAACATTGCCTTTTTATAAATATATGGCGTAATGTTTTTCAACAATTTATTTAACCAACACCCCAATTGAATTTTAAGCTGAAATCTAGTGGTAATAATCTATATTTCATGAAAAATATGGTCATAAAATTCCATCGAAAAATTTCACCCAGAAGCACATCAAATAATATAACTCATGCAAATGTATAAGAACTTCGGTTCCTGCATGGGAACCAGAACTGATCTGGAACCGAACCGAAGCTGAACCGGTCAAATACTATAGGAAACGAACCAAAAAAAAGCAAAAGTCCAAAATTATAAGAACCAAACCGAACTAGATAATTTGGTTCTGTCCCGATCCGTTTTCTCGATTTTACGATTCCAAGTCCCATGCCTAAATGTGATCACTTGAGACCAGGGGCGGAGCCAAGGGGGGTCAGGATGGTCAGCCGACCCCACCGAAAGTTTGAGAGTATAGAGCTCTGAAATATCTTCGATTTGATATGTTATGGCCCTCGTAATTCATTATGAATAAAAAGTTATGACTTCTGCAAAATCTGCAGTATCTAAACGTAAAATCAGCAAAATTCGATTCATACTATAGATTATTTTCCCAAAATTTAAAAATAGGATATAATTTACTCAATACTTATATGACACGACTCAGAAACAGAGCAAAGACAATACATCTAATTGCTACGAGTTCCTATTTATCTAAACTGCATCTGAAATATTCAACTCGAATGTTGTTTACAAATGATCCACCATTTTCGTTCTGTATATAGATTGAGTTTTGATCTTTCCTAAATCGTTTTTCTAGCTCCACCATTGCTTGAGACTTAGTTTGAAGACTAATGTTTTATAATAAATATCTGTAGTATTTAAATGTTAGCACGAATGAGTTGGTATTAGGAATGCTCTTAACTGGCTACGAGAGCAAGGGTTGAACTTTGTTGATGTGGAGTCAAATGCATCCGAGCCTGCAAGCCATCGCAGAAATTTTAAGAGGCCCAATTGTTCTTTAGTGGAGTTGATAGTTGTTATTCTAGAAGTCAAGACTCAAGACAGATCAAACAACCAACTTTGTCTATCATTTACTAGTTAGTTAAAAAAATCATAATCACCAAGCCTTGAGCATAGACATACAAATAACACAAACACCCAACCCGAGTCATCGTCATCAAAGGCCTTTATAATCAAAATCTGGAGACGTGCACGCTCTGGAGTCCTGGTTCATCTGAAAGAAATTAAGATTGGATAAAAGAGGGGTATATAATGTGTGTACAAATCACCAATAAGTCAAATACTCTTTGGGTAGGCACAGTCTCTTCTTTAGAACTGTCCTACTTTATCCATGGCACTACTGCTAAAACGCAAATAACATTGTAACAGGCAAACAAACTTACATAAAGATTAAAAAGAATGCTTGCAAAGACAGCTCTTAATGTTGCCTCTACAACAAACTCTGGATCATCTTCATCTTCATCATCTTCTTCACACGCATCTATCCAGTTGTTTGGATGGTATTGAGAAGCATGACGCGTACTTTCTGTCCTGCCTGCAAATAAAACAAAAGAGAATCGCTGGCTTCAATAGTTATTCTGACAAGGATTTAGATGAATGGTTCACAATTGAAGTATGGACAAACCTTGTGTCTCCTTTGTGTGATCTGTTTCCTCATTATTGCAGCTAAGGTATTTAGTTAAGAAAATGTTTCTTGAAACCTGGTGATTTAAACTATATACGTAAAGAGTAATCTCGTTCCCAGTGGAACTTTTGATGAAATTTTGTGAGCATGTTCTTCGTGAAGTGCAGATTATCTCCACAATATTTCAACTTAAAATTTGATTGGAAGTCCGTCACAATGTTTTTAAATTATTTTATTTAACTGCCTTCTCGGTTGAATTTTAAGCTGAAATTTGGTGGACATAATCTACACTACATGAAGAACATGCTCAAAAAATTTCATCAAAAATTCCACAGGGAGGAACCACTTCAAAATGAGACGGCCGGATGGCAGATCGTGTCAAGCCAGCCTGACAGGATCATTCCTCTACACTACATAAATACATAATGCTTAGAGAATATCATTTTAACTAGAGAAATTGCATGGTAATTGCGGAACACAGTCATGCATACGCTCTTATAACACTGAAAATCACTTTTAAATGCTTTTTGTAAATGTCTGCGGTAGTTAGTTGAAGTTTAGAATGAAGAGATATTATTTGAAAACTATAACCCCTTAAAATTAGAAGTATCTCCCGTTCACATTCCACATTGTGAGAAATGACATAACAGCTTTTTAGATCTAAAGACTCGTTACCACTACCTCACTTGATTATGTACCTTGATGGAAAAGGCTATCTTATGGGTTTTGTTACAAAATCGCCTTCTAGATAACAGATCCGGAGCCAGGAACAGTGTTTTAAAATTCAAAAGATCTAACATGTAAGATCAGCTTATCTGTGCCACCCCCCATTAAGGAAATTGCAGATTATAAGTAAATGGTCAAAGTTTAAGAAAAAGCAAAAAAAAAAAAAAAGCACGCTACTTGTTAGCACCAGAAACCACATTTCCTGTTGTAGCTCCACCTCCAGAAATGTTAATGGAACCGACTCTCAGAATCTCTTGCTGCTCATTAATAATCTGGTTTCTACCACTTCCTGTTAAAAATTGGTATGAAAAAAACATTAAAAAATGTAGACTGGTTGACATGTGACAAAAGGGCATACAATTAATTACCTGAAAGGTCAGACCAAATTCTGGTGTGATCAGATGGGGGCTCAGAATTATCCCCTCTTGACCCATCATGTGTTTCGGCCCCTTTTGACTGATCACCAGCCTGACCGTTTGAATTCACTGCTTGGGGACCGCCTGTGGAGTTCACATTATTGATTTGTGATGTGAGCATGGTCGCAAGCACCAAGGCTGCATCAAAGTTTGAACCAGAGCCATCGTCTAAACCAAACTTCGGTTCCATCAGAACTGGCCTATATGACAAAATTCAGATCAAACTTTGATAAAACATATACATTTCAAAGGGGCTTGAAAAGTAGCAGAATAACAAATTATTGAAAAGTACTGATGAGACTGACCGTAATCAGATCCGGATTTAACTGTCTAGGAGCTTTGGAGGGTAGTTCATAGACTCCATGGGAGCGTAAACCCCCACAACTGGATTATCAAAAAAAAAATGAGGAAGCAAGTTCAGAAATAACCAATGGTTAATTAGCAATTTATCACTAATAAACTGTAAGCTGAGATGGCACAACCAGGCTTCATCCAATAGCAACCCACCATGTAATTTCTCCACCTACCCATACCCAGAGGTAGATAAACTTTTAAAACAACCATGCTTGATGTACACACACTTGTACACACCTTATACACACCATGTTTGCGAACTTTTTTTTCTGTGAACCCGATTCATAGACAATATTATGTTTGTGCAAAACATTGTCGGTGAATCGATGTTCACAGACAAAAAAAAGCATTCACAGACATAGGTGTGTACAAAAGTGTGTATAAGAGTGTGTACAAACATCATTTTTGCTTTTAAAAACCCACCCAACGGGTGCGGGCCCTCACCACTTTTATAGTAGTAATCATTTATACATATCATAAAAAATAATTTCACAATTGATGACATTAAAATTTAATATCTATAATAACAAATTACAAAATAAAAGTATTCAAATGTAATTGAACAAAAGATTTATTCAATTCGTGTGAAAGTTATGAGTTATCTGTCGAAGTACCAAATATATTATCACTCAACTAAAAAAATTAAATTTTAAGATGATTAGAAAATGATATTTATTCAATGCTTAAAATGATAGGAAGAAATAGAAAACACATGCTTAAAATGTAATTGAACAAAAGATTATTCAATTCTTGTGAAAATTATATATGAATACCAGTCGAAGTACCAAATATATTATCACTCAAATAAAAAAATTAAATTTTAAGATGAGATTACAGAATGCAATTTATTCAATGCTTAAAATAATAGGAAGAAAGAGAACAACACAAGAAAGTGGTGAACCTACATTATCTTCATAATGTATACACGCATAGTGATAATATGTAACAAACTAACAATCTAATACCTAGTATATTTCATTTCGAAGTAAGTACTTTAAGTCATAGTACATCAGGTCAGTGATAGCATGCTTTTACATAAATGATCTGTGGCATGACTCAAAGTGGAGCAGTTTGATTTTTTTAAAACCACCCCAACCCACTAGCACCCAAAAATTCCTACACACAGGGGGGTGTCAAGTTTGAGTGCAAATATGTGTGTTTTGTGGAAGTGGGAGGACAATGTCATCTGTGGTCCTAAAGAGTTTTCTCAAAATCAATCAAAACTCCAAGTGAACTAACAACCTTAATAAAAGTCTTAGAACACAATTGTCTGTGTGGGCATATTTAGTACTTTAGTAATTATGATTTGGCAGCAGGGGAAAAATACTCATCTAAAATATACAAAAAATTAATGGCAATCATTAACTACCAAAAACAACCAAATGCAATCCATTATATTCTCGTATTCGTGTGCGTAAAAAAAGGGGCATGTGAATATCATATAATAGACTTGCTTATATGCCTTCATAGCTCCCCCATTGACCAATAAACCACTGTCACTTAGAGAAGATCGTGTCGATCTACATTTCAGACCAACTAAGTTTGTCTCTTAATAGAACCACCTAGCACCCATTTTTAAAAACAAAATGGAATTTATAGAAATTCAAATATACCAGTAATAAATAAAGCTTGCATCTTGAAACTGTCAAACAAGCCGCACTGAAAAGCTAGAAACAGAATATAAGCATTTAAACGGTTTCATATGATCATCTTGCCTGCTCAGATAGGTAAAGCCATTGACGATTCTTGTACGTCGCTTGCTCCACTTGTGGGCCCCACCTGATAGAAATGGCAGTGGCATTTGTTGTTAAGATCACAAAAAAATGTAAAAACTCCAATACGTCAGAAAATGGTGAAAACTTCACTTCATGCTATTGCATTGATGTAACAGTACCAAACATCGAGACAAATAAATAAAACATAAGTACATTACCTAGGCATATAAGGAGTATGATCTAAAAGCAAACATAAAGGCATCTACTTTTAGAAAGATGGACAAAAGTGTAAAAAGCATGATCATTTATTGTCATTTCTTAATCCTTGTGCCGGTCAAAGTTTGAAATTCAATTCGGGAGTATGATCTAAAAGCAAACTTGACCCCTTATTACTTGTTTATATTAAAAATGAAAAGGGGTTTAAATTACAAATGACTAATCCATTATGTTTCTAGGAGCAAGCAGAAAGCTAACAACAACAGGATCAAGCAAAATAAACAAAAAAACGCCAACTTTCCGGTTAAATAAAAGCAGCATGAATATTGAAAATGGTAAACCCTAGAGTGAGTGAGAGGTGGATAAATGCCGGACCTGTAGGAGAGAGATGGGCCAGATGGCCACACAAGGTTGTGATTAGCTAGCCAGTCGTAGAGAATGGGGACCAGAGACTTCCACTGAGTGTAACACTCGTTCACGGACGGCTCACCGCCTTTTCCTTGTCTCTCCTTCATCCTCTGAGCGTATCTCAATCTGTCTCTCGGTAGAGCCTCTCTTTGAACCGCTCTCTGGCCCGCCTTCGCTTTTCCCGCCTTGGTCGGCTGCCAAGGCGACTGATATAAGGTGATGGACGTTTACTGCTGTTGCCCAGGTTTTCCACTGTAATTTCATGATGTTTAAATGGGTTCGAAAATGCCGTTGCCCAGGTTTTCTATCTTTAGGCCTTTGGTAGGAGGGTTTTGGAAGAGAGAAGAGGAAAGAGGGGATATGCGTGCGTAGGGAATTGCCTGTGTTTGATGGAAGGAAATAGGGGGAACCTGAGGAAAGGGGCTTTCAAAATCCTCCACTTCTTCTCATTCTAAACCTTTAAATCGGGTATTTTGGAGGAAATATGTTGATAATCACAAACTATACATCTCCTGCTTGAATGAACAAAACGTTATAATATAAAAAGGTAAAAAACAAAAAGTTTTGAAAAATTTAAAAATTTAAAAATTTAATGATTAAAAAAATTAAAAATTAAAAAAATAAAATTTTAAAAATTAAAAAATTTAAAAATTATAAATTAAAAATTTTAAAAATTAAAAATTAAATAAATTTTAAAAAAAATCCAAACTGAAAAATGAAAAATTAAAAAAGTAAAAAATCAAATAAAATAAAATTATGACTCATGATCATAAGAGTAATATTCACAATAGTTAGACATGTATCTATTTTTTTAAGTAGACTATCAAATAAAAGTAAATTGCGAAAATATTTTCATTAAACCTTTCCTCCTATTTTCTCCAATCAAACACGAATTTTTATCAAAATCCTTCTTTCCCCTTCCCTTCCCTTCCTCCTTGACTCTCCCCTTCCCTCCCTTCTTTGAATCAAATAAGGCCTTAAAGTTTAGACTAGTGCGATCTTTATTGTTGAAACATCCGGTTTGGTCCTCCTTTGCTAATTACATATCATTTATGTCTTCTCCTAATTTATTTTTCATTTATAGACTTTGACCTTTTCACTTTTAATATTTATATTTCAAAAATAACCTAAATCCTAAATCAAAACCCATCGGCGATTGCTAGCTGGCAGACCTTGTTCATCTTTACTCACGACATTCGATTGAAGCACTTAGGCTTGTGCAGTTATTCATCCCGCCCAGCGACTCCGCCCTCTGCCTCCACCATCCGTCCCCTAGGACTCCACGCTTCTCCTTCCACCCTCCGCATGTGCTTGCTCGGCTACTCCGCTGCTCTTTGAATGGCGGCCTAATTGTCTGGTGATTTCTAATTTGCAGGTATGCCTTTGAGATTCATTACAACTTTGTTGAATTCATCTAATCTAGCCTTAAAATAGGAACAAGTTCTTCACCAGTTCGCCCATATCCTCACACCAAGAACTTACTCCTCACATAGAACTCAATAGCTTTGATAAATTCACCATCTGCATCCCTTTGATCATCCTTCTTCTATTGTGGTAATTATCCACATAGTACACCTTTAGTTGGACAAATGCACTCTTAAACTTGTTATGCCAAGCATGAGAGCCTCTGTCACCTATTTTGGATTACATGAGGTTTATGAATTGTAACTTCATCTTTTCTTATATTCAACATTTTTAGCATTTACAATTTTGCATTGTCATTGAAGTAATTGATACACGGCTAATGTTAATTTGTTTAGTTTTTTGGGTCTGTTTCATCGATGACTTACTCTTTAAATGCAAATGTTGTTCTTAGAAGTTGAGTATTAATTGACTAGTGAACATATGTACCTTATTGTGTTTTAACGAAAGTGGTTGCATAATGATTGCATAATGACAAAATTCTCATTATTCCTCCTGTTAAGTTGTAACTAATTTCATTACATCAGTGTTTCCTTTTCATTTCTCTCAATAGAATTCTGCTCTTTTCATTTCTCTCAATAGAATTCTGCTCTTGCCATAAACCTTTGAGCGTGAGCTTTGCTTCACTGTTGGAAGTTTTTTCAAAATTTTATAAGGTATGGGTTTTGTTGTTTGTTTTATGACTTTAAAGACCGACTTTAAGGATTTGTTTAATATCAAAATAAGACTTTTCTGGAAAATACCAATTCTTATATATTGATTCTCTGTTTATAACCGTGACTAGTCTATTTTTAGAGCGAGAATGAACTAGTTGATTCAACATGCTCTTCTTGATAAGCTCTTCATCTTATTACTAATTGAATCATGTGATTTCAATTATTGATTCCACTTACATTAGTGTATGCATACGTATACTACCATCACAGGAAGGAAGTTTCACTATTTTGTAGGCTTGCTCTCTTTTGCGTCGACTACTATGTTCAAAGTGGCCTTAAACTTAAACATCATTCTACTTTCAGAATATTAGAGGCATATTAGAGATATATTTCATTCATTCATTGATGTTAATTTTTTTATCCTTGAGAGTATTTGTACACACATAACTTGAGTGATCATTAAAGTACCTTCTTAGTGAAGTAGGACTCAACATCCATCAGCTTTTTCATATCAAAAGCATCTATTTGATCTGCCCATTTGAGTACACACTTTAGCCACCAACATGGTATAAAGAAGAGCACATTGTTTGTTGTAAACAAACTTGAATTTTCTCATGGGATTGCTGAATAGAAGGAGTGTGAAGTGACTTAGTGTTTTGTCATTCCTGAAAATCATGATTATTAGTCTACTTCTTCACTAATCTTACTTAGTTACGTATTCCTATTGTAATTACAATAATAAAGGTTTTATTATGAAGAGGAGAGAGTAAGTGGTTGTATATTTCAACTTAATTGTTGCCTTGCATATTGGTTTTTACTTGTAGAGAGTTAAGAATAACAAGTTTCCCAAGTCTACTTGTAAATCTATACTCTGTATTAGGAAACGAGCTAATAATTGAATATGAAAAAACAAATTTAAATGGATATATTGTATGTTTTTTTTTTGTTTCTCTTTGTTTTATTTTGTTGCATCTTGTTATATTTTGTTTATATTGATCTATGATTAGTATTATTATTTTTGATTTTGTATATATGTTTGCAGTTATTTTTTTCTACTTTGGTACAAAAACACTTTATACATGTGTATGCGTGTATATTGACAATATTTCATATAATAAAATCACATTGAACAAAAATAAACAATAAGGTATAAAAAATAAACAATAAGCAACAAAATATGAAAATTCAGCAACAAAAGAAACAAAAGGAAACAAAAAGTAACAATATAAAAAATAAGGCAACAAAGGGCAACATAAAAACAACAATAATAGTAATAATAGTATTAAATTTTTTTAATAATAGATTGTTACAATTTTAAATAATATAACTTTTTAAATAATTAAGATGTTAATAGTTTAAATAAAATTACTTTCAAAAATTATATTTTGTATTTTGTGACATCATAACTATATTTTGTATTTTGAAACACTTTTTTATAAAGTATAGCTTAATTTTTTATTCACGTTTTTTACTATTGATAGCAATTCTAACAATTAAAATTTATATTCAATTTAATTTTTCGAATCATTTGTTTATTTTTATTTTCAATTTGAAATATTTTCCTATAATGTTTTTCCATTTTTGTACATTTTACATGCTTTTTATTTTGTTTTTTAAATATTTTATTATTTTTTATTATATTTGTATGATATTTTACTTTTTCATTTTTATACCATATTTATATGATTTTATCAATTTTAAAATTTTTATTTTATTAATGTATTTCGTTTATAATTTAGATTTTATTTTATTGAATTTAGTTTTTTTTTAAATATATTTTGTTTTTCTGATATTTTTGTTGTCTAATTTAACTTTTTAATTGATTAATTATTTACATTTATTTTCAGATTTTATCAATTTATTATATTTTTTAGTGTACTCTTTTTACTGTTTGTGTATTTCTAATTTTTAGTGTGTATAATTTTTTTAATTTCCTATATTTTTACAAACTTTGTATATTTCATATCATAATTGTATAAATTTTGCATTGATATAATTTTCAAAATGCTTCATATGAAGATACGGCTACTTTGGGAATGGATAACATCTAGCGCTTAACTGCTTCGCATCCAGCCACGTGAGTTATTTGAAGTTGAGTGCAGGAGGTCTATTTTTGTGCTAACCTACATTGTTTCTACAATTCTCTTTCTCTGATCTACACATTGCACATGACAGAATCTTGACAAAATATTCAAATATCGTAATAATAATCATTGCCAAAATGTAACAGAAAATGTCACAGTGACAAATAATGACATCGTAATATTAACAATGTCAATGTCATGTCTCTCATCACAATGTCATTACAAAAAAGTAGAAAAGTATCATAATGATAAAAAATGTCACAATATCAATCATTGTTAGAATACAAATTGTCACAACAATGATACAATATTGTAAACTTTAAAGACAAAATGTAACAATGTCGGAAAACATCACAACCACATTGATAATGAAATTGGAAACCAACCATTCCTGCTCACTGGGTGGAAGGTTACCGTGTCCTAGCGGAGGTCTCAAGTTCGAATCACGCTAGGCACATTTAGGGGAGAGGAGGGAGGTCTTGCTCCCAAATGATTCTTCCTACCTTCACGGAGTTGCTCAGCGGCTGGGAAGGGAGAGGATGGTAATGAAGGTAGCGGGTTCGTGTGGTGGGAGGAGCAGCCTGAAAGGTGATGTAAGTCCTGTTGGATTCGTCCTTTGGAGTCAGTACTGACGATGCTGACTGTGATCAGATCCGGACTTAACTGTCTAGGGGCTTTGGAGGTTAGTTCATAGACTCTAGGATTATGAGAGCGTAAGCACCGACATCTGGATTATCAAAAAAATGATGAAATTGGAATTAATCCAGCTTGACGCCTCTCTCACCAATAAAGCATCTGCCTCTTTCTGTAAGCATACACCTTTTGGAGGAATGGCAGCCCCGGCTAGAAAAGCTCCTGCACTATCTCGAGCAACCCAACCCAGGCCAACAATTCCTGCATCGGTATTAATTTTAATTCTGCCTGTATCTGGTTTTCTCCACCTAGAAGCATCCAAAGCTGCTGGTTCCTTGCCTTTTGCTGCTGGTTGTGCTCTGCGCCAGCCTTCAAGAGTCTGTATCTGGGCATCTCACAGCCCTAAGAAGAGGAGAAGAGAAGGAGACGAAGAGGATCTCTAATATATCAGTTCTTACTAATTTCACAGCCCTAATTCTCCGAATTGGCCATCTCAATTCTGCAGCTCCAGTGAAAAGAAAACTAAATCCAAAATGAACATAAAATTATACATCGGGGGTGCTAGTCAAAGCTGTGTAGAAGATTTTGAGTTGA